GAGACCAGAGATGGGAGAGAAGTAGAAGGCAAATGTTAATGTATAATGACGCATGCTTTGTCAGGGTATAGTACAATGGCCCTCAATGGCCTCGTGAAGCAAAACGCCGTTTATGCAGGTCTGACATGTGGTCAGACGTTGTTGTCCTCCTCGCCCATACCAACCATCTCGTATTCACCAGCGCCGTCTCTCCCTCTGCCCCTGCCTCTTCCCCTAGACTCTCCACCCTCGTCCTCTGCGGCTGGTTGTGATGGCGAAGGCTTCTTGCTGCCAAAGTTGATTGGCCTCAGTTCCCGCCACTGGCATGCCCATACGCCTAGCGAAGTCATAATGGTGGCGCTACATATCTGCAGCGCCCACCAGAACAAGTTGGCGGGTATGGCGTGGGTGTACAAGGAGGTGACGATCAAGTGGATAAAGTGTACAGTCAGGGCGAAGTCAAGAACGAGTTTGGAGCGGGCGATGAGAAGTAGTATGAAGATGGCACTGCAGCGTGTTAGATGGTGGCATGACTGGGACCAGCGCGTCGCAGCACTTACCAGGCGAGGCTGTTCAGCACCCAGACCAGACCCAGAGTCCATCCGATTGTGGTATCGCCGCGTAGACTTTGCCAGCCGAACAAGAGATCGGTGCTGACCTCCTTGCCCGCTACCAGCGCGGTAAAGACAATAAGGATGCCGGCGCATGCATAGTAGGCAAGTTGCAGCAGTAGGATCTGGGAGAGTATGCGGGTCGGGGACAGATCCGCAAGTGCGCCAGGTCGTGGAGGGCGGCGTCGGCGTGGCATCAATACGCAGGCGGTGCGCTATGACATGAGCACAAGGGGAGGCGGAGGGTTGATTGATCGTAGGTGCAAGGTTGCCTGTTGATTCACGGGTTCCCGTAACCGTTCGGCGAAACGTGGGCAGTCAGCGCCGATGTCATAGCTTTTGGGCCCGCCAAGCACGGATTCGAGATGATTGCGCTGTTGGACGTGTATTGTCGACAATTCTACCAAGCCTACATAGTCTGACCTCGAGCATCCCCTCCCGACGTACGCAGCCACCCCGAACAGCCTCCTGTGACACTCGCCTCCCGTGCCACTGACTCCCGCGCCAGCTGCGACAATCGCCTCTACCTCCGCATCTCCTCCGCAACCTTCGAAAATCACAGTCATGGGTTGGTTCGGCTCAAGCTCCAAGGACGACGGCGGTGTCAAGAAGACAGACGGCGGCGCATTCGAGTCACCGTCACGATCCAACCGGAAGCAATGCTATGCAGCACGCGACGCCTTTTTCGAATGTCTCGACAAGAACAACATCTTGGATAGCATAAACTCAAAATCCGGCAGGGACAAGGCCGCAAGCTTCTGCGCGTCTTTTGACCAGGAGTTTGAGAAGAATTGCGCACACAGCTGGGTACGTAGAATTTTCTGCACGGCAACCACATTACACTAACAGTCTGCTGCAGGTCGAATACTTCAAGAAGCAACGAGTTGTAAACTACCAAAGAGAACAGACAATCAAAAAGATTGAGATGCAAGGCGGAGAAATTACAGCGCCGCAACTACCACTGCCGGGCCAGAACAAGTAGATGAAGCATGGCCCGACAGTCTTAATAACGCCGCTCATGACCAATGTACAACATGTATACTACTCTCAAAGCGCTCGGAAAAAAAGCGTTTGCAGCTGCCACACAGAATGGTTTCCCCTGTAATTCTAGACTTTCTACACTAAAGCGAATATGTCACTCATACACCATCTCGTCGAATCCCATGCAAGACATCGCCTCTACCTCAGACCTACCTCCAGAACAAATGATCGTGCATGAACCTCACACCCTCCGCGCGGAGCTGTAACCCGAACCAAAGGTCTAGCACACTACATTACTCAAGTTGTGACTAGGCTCGCATAATGTCGTCACTGCGTCTTGGGAACGCTGACCAATGTAGCTTAGGTATTCGAAGCGTCGAGCCGCGCCTGTCAAGTCTACTCCTTGCATGAAGGGGGGTTCGTCGCATAGACCCGAGGACGAATCGGGGAGTGGCGGGGCCTAGCTTGTCCGTGCAAGCCTACGCGCGGGAGTTGTTTCGACTTGCAGAATCGTAGCCCGAGTGTGTAGGTCAGGCCGCGTCTTGGCTTGCTGTGAACTTCTGTCGGCCACCATACCTCGAAACGCATGTGGACATTTGTCGGCAGTTTCCTTTTGCCCGAGCCTTGTTGCTGACAGCAGAAACTCTGCTGTTGAGGGGGGCGGGGGACGTGCAAGTCTTCAACTCTGTTCCGTACAACCCCTCATCAGCACAAAAGCCTAATCATCGAGAGCATCAATCGACCCGTCAAGTCCAAAATCCTACACGCACAAAACTAACAAAGTGCAAGAACATGACAAATATCTGACCACAAGACAACATGTTACCCAATATTGTTCATTAATACTGATTGGCTACTAGAACGTGCAGGTTTTAGCCGCAGAATCGAGCGGCAGTAGCAGCAGTGCGCCGCCTGGTTCGAGTCCTCGGGTCGGCGAGATCTGAGCTTTTTCTCGGTTATCTGTACATACTGAGAACCCCCACCCCACCATCCCAAGACTTCATCCGAGTCAAGTGGCTTGTTTTACCCCTCCATTGGGTTGGTGTGTCTCTGAAGGATCCTGCCCTCGTGTGTGTGTATGTGTATGTGTGTGCGTGTCGGTTCGTGTGCTTCGGTTTCGTATGCTTCGTGACCATATCCCATGCTATCCAATATTCAATAGCAAGTTGCGTTGCTGTTAGTTGATTACTTTTACTGTCGGCGTCGTCGCCGAGGACGTCTGTCACCACTTGGTCGGCCAAATAGTCGCAGGATCGAACTCGCGCCTAAAAATCTCCACATCGGACGCGCACCCTTTGTTCGGCGACCCAACCATACTACTGTCGATAGCAAACACGACATCCTGGAATGCGCCATGGAACTCCTCCTCTTCGAAGAGTAGTTTTCTCCACATTCGCGCTACCTCCTGTGCTGGGTTGCGGAATATAGGCCCTAAGCCGAAAGCGCCCAGCACCAAGTTCCTGTGCCCGCAGTAGGATGCGATTCGCAATACTGCCCGCATTTTCTCCTTCATGAGCTCCTTTTCTTGTGCAAACGAGTATTTGCATCCGCTCTCGTCGAGCTTGGGACGTCGCACGGGTGCAACCGATATTACGGGTAGAGAGGCTATGTCTGTAAAAGTTGCATAGTCTTGATCTGGGCCTGCTCGGAACACAACTGCGGCCCGTTAGTGACTTGTGACTCGAGACGAGCGTTGCTGTTATCTCAACGTACAGACTTCAGGGGAGTAGATGCCGCCTGTCTGTGGTATTGGGTAGTAGTTTTCTTCTCGGCCCAATTGCGCGTTCCATGGCATTGTTAGAGCATGTACGAGATTGCTTCTCCTCGCGAAACATTCTTCTGGTGCCATAAGCCCGGATTCCCAGTCACCTCCAGCGCGTTTCTCGTTCGCTACGTTGATCACTGGAATTTGCTTGCAGTCTGAATCTGCGTTGACCGCGCTTTGATACCAGCCCAAAGCGTAGTTCACTGGGTCACCTTCCATGACAGCTACTCTTGTGCGTTGTGATGATCGTTTGTCCACGTTGATTCTTATTTGTGCTGAGTCGGGATACAGGTATGAGGTCTTGGAGTCTCGAATGTAGTGTTTCCAGATATGTGGCATCCATATCCGTTTTGCTTCGGCTGCTATCTCTGACGGCTTGGGTCTTGAAGGCGGCATGATAATGAAATACTATGAGCAGCTTTGATATGAATTCTTGTATGACTGTACGTAGATTGGAAGGATGTATAGTTGCAGCGTGAGATGGCCTGAAAGTAGGGAGGGGCGGGGTGAAACGACGAGGAGTCTATGACCCTACCGACAAGAGGGTAGCATATCACTTGAGCAAATACTCAGGAGCGTGTGATAACGCAGCTAAATAATGGCTCCAGATCCAGCCGGAGACTAAGCTGGCGCATTTCCGCTGCGCCAGTTACCAAAACGGTAGTCGTCTGCGGGAATCGAGCCCTCCCCTGTTGGATGCAGTCATCGCGGGTGGCATCTACACCAGCAGTAGCGCAAACCTGCAGGAGGATGGGACATGAGTCGTATGCCCAAGCAATTTAGGGTAGGCACAGTGGTCGATGCCCGGTAGCAGCCGCGTCGTGTGATTGAAAGATCCATCCTGGTCCTGGGGGCGACGCTGTGCACCCACGTAGCTGCCAGGTACCTTGAAGCCACTAAGTGCCGTGTCGGGTTTCTGGGAGTTGTTGGAACAGGGATGTGTGGCTGGATCGATCGTCCAGACCTTGAAGCGATCTGCATAGAGTTAAAAGCGGTTTAGAAAGATCTGGCGGCGTTGAGCAAGCCGATGATGACAGCTGCTAACCAAGATCCTGCACGATATAGCGTCGCAGTGATAGCGTCGGCACTAAGATCCCGGATGCAGGGTAAATGTACTTTGCTGGATTGTTGGCGTTCTACGAGGCGTCTTTCTCACCGCCAGCGGATGTTACACGAAAACGTCCAGTAACGAATAAGTCCGCCGCCCTTATGACGGGTGCATGCTTCCAGCATCTCGGCACACGATGGGAGTTGTACAAACAGCCGTCTCGCTTGGTGGGGCGTGTTTTGGTGTGCTGACTGGGGTGGAGTAGAAGAGGAAGCTGGCCCGTCCAATGATGGTAAAGAGGGCCACCAAGAAGAACACCACGACACCAGGCTCCGAAGTCCATCGGTGCTATGTTCATGGGTCACAAATCTCGTGCACTTTCATGGTCGGTCCTTGGAGCACATAGTGTTTCAGCCATGGCTGAAGTGTTACAGTCACGATTAACGAGCCACAAGAACGGTACGGGCGAGGCCCGCCAGATCCTAGCGCATGGTCAAAGCGTCTGTACTTTTTTTCTTGGGTTTCATAGACAGCATACCGATAGAGGCAGCTGTTGCTACGCTACAGAGCACACCGCACATTTCCTACTGGCTGATCGAAATTTGCCGACGCGTAAATGAGTTGGCTCCTGCCCGTTCGAAGGAGTGTTGTCCGCCCCCAGTACTTACTTCGAAACCGGGGAACCGCTTTGCCTTGCGCACATGCGCTATCACTATGTCGTCCTCGCTGCAGTTCAACCTTCTGCCCAAGCAATATTGCTGAGCTGCTGAGGCCATCTCCACAATCAATCTCCGCCCAGCGGACTCCACGGGACAATGAGGCGCTGACGATAAACGGCTATGTGCGGACAGTGCGCAAGCAAAAGCGTATTGCATTTGCTGCCATAGGAGATGGCTCGACCCTGCAGACAGTACAAGCAGTGCTGCCTCCCCAACTAGCGGAAGGGTCAGTAGTCTACTTCCATACGATCTGTAAGTACTGACATGCTGTGCTATCAGTCTCTCCACTGGTGTTGCAGTGACGGTCACAGGAAAGTGGACACCCTCGCCAGGTCAGGGCCAATCCCATGAACTTCAAGTAAACCAAGTGCACATACTGGGAGAGAACGATGCTACAGTAAGTTGGTTCGAGTAAGCATTGAAGTAGTCTCTGGGTTCTGATCTGTGTTCCAATTGCAGGCCTACCCAATCCAGAAGAAATACCAATCGCCTGAATTTCTGCGCACTCTCCCGCATCTTCGAAGTCGACTACCAATAAACTCTCTTATATTGCGGCTGAGGTCTTTAGTCACTGCGCAAGTGACCAACTACTTCGCAGAACATGACTTTGTTCAGTGTCATCCACCTATCATCACATCTTCCGACTGCGAGGGTGCAGGAGAGGTATTTACTGTTGCGCCTGAGGTACCATCGTCATCAGACAAATCCTCTTCAAACCAGATCAAGAAGCATGAAGACATGTTTTTCGGCTCTCCAAAATACCTCACCGTTTCTAGCCAGCTTCACCTAGAAGCTTTGGCTCAATCAGTGAACAAGGTCTGGACGCTGTCTCCAACATTTCGAGCCGAAAAGAGTGATACGGCTCGTCATCTTAGCGAATTCTACATGCTGGAAGCAGAACTAGCTTTCGTCGACGACGCCAATGTCGTCATGGACGTTGTGGAAGAGATGTTGCGTTCTGTTGCGTTGAAGTTACAAGAGTCAGTTGTAGGTCAAGAGCTCCTTGAGGCGCGAGCACGAGACCAGGATCAAGAAAGCACATCCGTGTCGCACGCTACCCTCGCACAACGGTGGCAAGGGTTGGCAGAAGGTCCATGGCCTCGAATCTCATATGCGGTTGCGATACGGCACCTCAAGGACGCGGTGGCTCAAGGCAAGGTGGAATTCGAGTATGCACCTGGTCATGAAGACGGCCTACAAACCGAGCACGAACGATTTCTGGCTGAGAGCTTGGGATGCGGGGGACCCATATTCGTCACTGACTATCCACGCAACATCAAGCCCTTCTACATGGCGCCGTCAAATGATCTGACTGTTGATGAATCGGCTGCACCGACAGTCGCATGCTTCGACCTACTTGTACCTGAGATTTGTGAACTGGTGGGAGGCTCTATGCGTGAACACCGACTGGAACAACTTCTGAAATCCATGGAGGAACAGGGTCTCCAACAAGCGTCGGACGACTCTACCGACGCATCAGACGGCTCTTTGCAGTGGTACGTGGACCTCCGACGATACGGCAGTGTACCGCATGGAGGCTTTGGTCTTGGATTCGATCGACTCCTGTGCTACCTCGCTGGTGTGCCTAACATCAGGGACGTAGTCAGCTTCCCCCGGTGGCACAAGCGGTGCGACTGCTGATGCGCAAACAAAATGTAAGGAACTCCGGTGTCCCCGACCACGGCATCGCCAGCTGTTGGCGGACATGTTGCTTCGTAACGTGGCATGGCAGATAAACTGGATAGCATTGCTGGTTGCAGGTTATGAAAACCGCGCGTCCATTGTACTTGTACGATGGGCAAACTGCTGGATCATGGTGGTTGATGATAGTTGCAAATGAGTATAGTAACCTCGGACCATCCACAACGGATTATGTTGGAGGCATCCACAGATGTCTATAGTAATGCGTGCAGGCTTGCTCTGTTGTTTATTCGGCGCAGACTGGAGATATAAGCTTGTCGTTTACTCATTTACTAGACGCTGTGCTAGGAGCACTTGGCGAGCAGGAGCTCGGCACCGAGCTTGAGTTGACATCCACTATGCAAACTATTCCAAGATCGGACATTATTCAGCATGCGGTTCTGGATGCGCTAACTCAAACCCGGCGTCTTTGCGGGGTATCGTGAGTGAAGTCAGGCTTTGCGTACAAGCATGTAGGGGACAGGACGCAGACGTGTGGCGGACGGTGTATGCGGGCGGAGATGATCTGATAAGATATAGTTGAGTCGAACTATCTCCCCTCCCGCATCCGAGGCACCTTGGCTGAGTCTAGCTATCGCGTTGATGATGTACTTGATCTCCGCGGCACCTGTCAACCATCGTTGCGCATTTGAGGGGTCATGGCAAGTGGCCAGCTGTGGCCAGATTGCAGGGGGCATCACGATGCAGAATTTGCCAGTATATGGGCTGGCATGCGCATGCGTAGGTTTGCCGTGCAAGCTCCGGCATCGCTGTTGATGGCATGGGTACGATGAGAGTAGATACTAGAGAGAGTACCTAGTCGCCGGATTTTAGGTCTGACGTCTCGGCGTTCGGCTGAAGTCATCTCGCGCTTCCGTTAGTTGCAAACAAAAGTAACAACTTCAATTTCGAACCATTGCCCACTCACCTCACCTGGCCCTCTCGCAACGACGCCCGAAGCTGCCATATCTTGCCCAAAAACAAATACCACCATAGTCGCAAACCTGGAATCCGCGGCGCCAGTAACAGGCCGACTTATGGCCCCCAATGATCGGCCATCAGTTCCTATCGAAGAAGAACACGAGTACAGCTCCATTGCACCACCACACATAGGATACACCCGTCGCTGACCTTCGCGCCAGTTATGAAGCGCTCCCGCCAAACTTCTCCCTCACCGCGAATATGCTTGCGGGCGCATTTGCGGGCATCGCCGTACGTCCCCGACGTCGCCGCCGTGAGCACATGTCAACTGACTTGGCGATAGGAACACTCGGTGATGTACCCAGTCGATCTACTCAAGGTGCGCAGCTTTCTATCAAGCTTTTCGTCCACTGCCAACAGTGTGCTGACTTCCGGTAGACCAGGATGCAGATCGTCAACCCGTCGCCGAGCGCCATGTATAGCGGCATCTCCAACGCCATGGTCACTATATCGCGAGCAGAGGGCTTTTGGTCATTGTGGAGGGGGCTTTCGAGTGTGGTGATGGGTGCAGGTAGGTAACGCTGGGTGAAAAGTCGGGGGTAGACGGAACTGACAGCGTGCAGGTCCCGCCCATGCTGTCTATTTTGCATCGTACGAAGCCACCAAGCACGCCCTCGGTGGCAACGAAGGAGAGAGCCATGAGCATCATCCTCTTGCAGCAGGTGCGCACAACCAATGCGACGTAAAACATGGGGCAGCTACTGACTACCAACAGCTGCCAGCGGTGCTGCGGCCACCATCTCCAGCGATGCGCTGATGAATCCTTTTGACGGTAAGATGCGCATTACGACTTCGCTCCGCGCCTACTGAACCTCGCAGTCATAAAGCAACGCATGCAAATGCATGGTTCCGTCTACAAATCTGTCCCTCAATGCGCCCGAGAGGTTCTCCGTACCGAGGGAGTCGGCGCATTCTACGTCTCATACCCCACTACACTGTGTATGACGGTACCATTCACCGCGCTGCAATTCATGGCCTACGAATCCATGTCGAAGGTCATGAACCCGACCGGCCGTTACGATCCCTACACGCACTGCTTCGCCGGAGGTATCGCCGGTGGATTTGCGGCGGGGCTCACCACTCCGCTCGATGTCATCAAGACACTATTACAAACACGCGGAAATGCCAGAGACGCAGAGTTGAAGAACGTCTCCGGCCTCTTCCAGGCGGCCAAGATAATCCATCAAAGGGAGGGCTATAGAGGATACTTCCGTGGTCTGAAGCCCCGTATTATCACCACCATGCCAAGCACTGCGATTTGCTGGTGAGTCCCCACATGCACAAAACCAACTTGTAACCATCTGACAACATCTAGGTCTGCATACGAAATGGCAAAGGCTTTCTTCATTCGGAGGAGCACTAACTCGTCCACTGCCATATAGGGAGACGACGATTTGACTGATCCTTTTTTTGAAACCGTTACGAGAGCCCTCCAATACTACGATACGCGCATAACCAACGGAACGATATACACGCGGTGTCGCGGAGAGCAGCGACCATAGCAGTACTGGGCATTCAAGGCTAGGTCTAGCATTTTGTGTTGCGCGGGTAGAGGAGAAGGTTGTGTCGCGACGCTTCTTCATTGCCATTGTATAGTCATAGAGGCTTTTCTGGAAGCTCATCTGGTGGCGTACTGGATGCTTGGTTGTGCGAGCACATGATGGCATGCGCGTACTTGTATCATAGAGAAAATTCAGTATTGGCGTCGCTCAAGACCCGTCAGCATTTTCGCTATCCGGTCCAATCCAGGTGCGTAATCGATAACAGCGATCCAAATAGCGGCCCCACCCATTGCACATGCATCTTCCTCGTGCGTGATTGCGAAGATGCGAATGTTGAAGCGATGATACTGCCCTATGATCTGATGTGTTAGCGTGAGGTGTGGCTCGCTGCGTGGATAATGCTGGGAGAGAGTGTCTTCCATGGTCGCCGCTGCTCAGCCTTCGGGGTTGCGAAACACCTGGGCAGCTCCCTCCAGGGCTACGTCACACACCCGCGCGAACTAAGGCCGGCGCATGCAGCAGACGAATCTACAAACACGAGCCCAAGACTTGACGCGAAACTCCTATTTCCGTCCTCACAGCGCGAATTGGGCGCACGGTATACATGTTTTCTGCTATGCGCGCCAACACGACGCAGAAGGCCTACGACGAGGCTTTTCTAGCCTGCTCGACTGCAGTATACTTTGAGGGCCAGGTCAGTGCCCAACCACCCGCCAAGTGTTGCACATGCTTGACCATACTGACAAAACGGCGTGTAGAACAATGAGAAAGAGGCGTTACGATCGTGGAAAACCGCCCTCGACCATATCTACTACCATAACGCCCGTCGCAACCCCTCAACCTACCGTCCTGCGTCCGAAACAGAGAGGGCCCTGATCGAATCGCTGCGCCAGTTGGAGCTACAGTGCAAAGAGCGCGTGGATCTGCTGGAAGCCCTGAAGAATAGTAGGAAGGAGTCAAAGGAGAGTCTTACCTCGCAGTCTTCAGACAACGATGCCCCAACACCACCTCCCCATGGCGTGCCCCTTTCGCAAACCGATACAAGCCGAACTTCTTCATGGCTCGGAGGCGGATCTATACCGCCCATAGAGTATACGGATCTTTCGCGACCGCCACCGTTACCGTACCGTCCTGCAATGGCACCACGAAAGAGCTCTGGTACTGGATCTATAGCAGACAACAGCTTGAAGCAGACTCGGAGCGCATCGACATTATCTCCGGGGACGGCGGCAGAGAAGAAGACGCGTACACCGTCGCCAGAGAAGAGCGGTAGAATGCTACGGACATTGAGACCCGGAAGGGAAAGCAAACCATCTTCGGCCAAGTTACCTAACTCGTTAAGAAGTCGCCCAGATGCTTCAAAGGCGGCGACTCAAGCATGGAGCGTCAAAGCTACAGGGGCCTCGAGTCGACCAGCATTGGGAACTAATCCATCGACCAATTCCCTCACGCCCTCAGCTCGCTCGTCCATCGACAAGCCGTCTGCTGGGAGGCCGAGTGCAAATTGTTTTAAACCAGAAGTACAGCAACCGCCCACACAAGCACCGTTCTATTTTAGAGCTGGCGAAGGTTCAGCATCGACTGCGTATGCGATACCACCACCCAGCGGCGAAATCGATCCAGAACCTGTCAAAACCCCTGCGCTCGAGCGAACAACGCCAACAATACCTCGCAAATCAGTCGGTTCGACTCAGATGCTTAATGCGCAAGGGACCGCCACGGCTCTGCCCTCGTATCGGAAGGAATACCCAAAGCCCGCCCCAGACCCTCGATCCCTCGCTGCGTCTGCAGCAGCGCATTCGTACAGCGACAACGGTGCTGAACGAGGTGGAGTCATGTGGGATCCTACGACACGGAGACTAGTGCCCAAATCTACGAGTAGTTACACTAAAGCGCGAAGCAGTTCGGAGCAAGAAGACATGCCTGAATCTATACCGCTAGAAGAGAATGGAGAGTTGCTTAACCAAAGGCCATCACCGGTGCGGAAGGGCAGGGCTAGAGGAAACTCGATGCGTGCAGAGTTACCAGATACCCCAAGTACGGACAGTACTGAAGCAGACCAAGAACCCGAAGAAATGGATGAATGGAAGCGACGGACGGATGAGATCATGAAGAACCTACCACGAGGTGTTGATAAGCAAGCAGCGCAGCAGATTTTGAACGAAATTGTCATACAGGGAGATGAGGTACACTGGGACGACGTGTCTGGACTCGAAGTTGCGAAATCAGCATTAAAAGAGACAGTGGTTTACCCGTTCTTGAGACCTGACTTGTTCATGGGCTTGCGAGAACCTGCTCGCGGTATGCTGCTGTTTGGACCCCCAGGTACTGGAAAGACGATGTTGGCGAGGGCTGTGGCTACAGAGTCAAAGTCTACCTTTTTCGCGATTTCTGCAAGCAGTTTGACGTCGAAGTTTCTCGGCGAGTCTGAAAAGCTTGTTCGTGCGCTGTTCCAGCTTGCGAAGATGCTTGCACCATCGATCATCTTCGTCGATGAGATTGATTCGCTCCTTTCGTCGCGCTCGGGATCCGGTGAACACGAAGCATCTCGACGCATCAAAACCGAGTTTCTCATACAGTGGTCTGATCTGCAAAAGGCTGCTGCTGGGAGTGCAATCAACGACAAGGACAAAGAGAGAGGCGATGCCACTAGGGTGCTAGTACTTGCAGCGACGAACCTGCCATGGGCAATCGACGAAGCAGCAAGACGGCGATTCGTAAGAAGACAGTATATTCCTTTACCGGAAGATTGGGTCCGGAAGCAGCAAGTGAAGACGTTATTGAGCCATCAGAAACATGAACTGAGCGACCACGATTTGGACTGTCTGGTCAAGCTCACTGACGGTATGTGCTTGTGTTCTACACTCCACAACAGAAAGAACGACGAAGACAATATATATGATGCTAACTTTAATCTAGGCTTCTCTGGTTCTGATATCACTGCGCTTGCGAAAGACGCCGCTATGGGACCATTACGCTCACTGGGCGAGAAGTTGCTGTCCATGACAATGGATCAAATACGGCCGATACAGTTCCAGGACTTCATAGCGAGCCTGCAGACTATCAGACCCTCAGTGAGCAAGCAAGGGTTAAAGGAATTTGAGGATTGGGCTACACAATTTGGTGAGCGTGGAGGTTGAAGTACTAATTAGGGACTGGTAGTGCGCCTTTGTAACGATCAAATTATCACATAATTGTATTCAGAATACCGGTATATCTGGGTTGCTCAATTTCGCTCCCACGTAACTTGTTTACCCCACCTTCCTGGGCTGAGGGTGGCTCCTTCCATCGGAAGCATGCTCATAGCCTAGCGCCATCTTGTCAGAATCTGAACGTCTCACACGGCATTTTCTCGCGATAGAGTTACTTCTATCGTACTTGCACATCGATAGCATATAATGGCGCCACGCAAGAAGACAGAAGAGAAAGCAACAGCCAACGAAGCATCGGACCTGGTGTTGGAGTACCTGCGTAGGCCACTCACCTTGCCCTTCCATCCGAAAAGCTTTACGATTGAATTATAGCTCAGCTTCAACGACTAACCGGCCATAGGCAAGCAAAACCGCCCATACTCAGCTATCGATGTCTCGGCAAACTTGCACAATAAGGTCACCAAAGGTGCGTCTGTAGGCAACACGCTAACTCATAATGCAAACACTGATCACGATACAGCTTCTGCCGCAAAGATTCTGAAAGACCTTCATGAGCAAAAAGCAATAGAGGGACGAGTTGCTGGTGAGTCTGACCAATCTAACTCCCGGCTCAATCAGGTTGACATCCTTAGGCAAACAGATCGTCTATCACGCTCTGCAGGTAGGTTTCGCTCCTGGATCCTCCAGTCCAAGTCTGATTTACACCCCTAGAACGCCGCTGAAGCATGCACGACTGAGCAACTCGCCGCCCTCGATGAAAGCGTTCTCAACGTGCGCACACGAACCATCTCTCTTCTCACCAGTGCAAAGAACCTCCGTAGCTCGCTCTCCAGCCTTAACTCCACGCTCAGCACTACGGATCTCATCGCTAGCATTCATGCCCTTGAGACGGAGAGGGCGGAAATCGTGACCAGACTCGATGGGCTGAAGAAAGGGAAGGCGAAGAAAGTAAGTTCACTTTCCTACGAGATGTTTATATATACATATGCTGATTCTGCAAGATCACAGTAGCAGAGCGAGAAGCGACCGAGAAGGAGTGGAAGAGGAGTGTTCGTGTGGCGAAGATAAGAAAGAAGATTGCGATGGAGATGTGGAAGTTGATCGAGGGAAAGCTGCCTGATCAACAAACGAGAGAGGAGCACCGGGAAATGTTCGATCTAGATGGGTAAGCGTATCATATCACGAAAGAGGTAGAAGATGCCAAAAGTATGATGTGCCAAACTTATTGTACGGAGGCAGATGGAGAAATGTGTGGGTAATGTAGTGAACTCAATAAGGTCTCAAGCCATATAGAGATCGTAGTTAAAGACAACCAGATTGGCATTTCTGTGATACGTAACTATTCGCCTCGTGCTGTAGGCGTCGCTCATTTGACCTTCCAACGCCGCACTGACAGATAACACTAATGCGACCGAGAGTTGAGAAGAGGTGAAATGTGGATTACAAATGGCAAGTGAACGCCTCTACAATGCAATCTCGACACTGATGTTTGAAATGCGCGCTATAGCCGATCAGGCCAGCTGATGAGCCAAAAAAGAACTATTACGGAAGCATAAGAGAACAAATGCAACGATAAGGAACTTGCAAAGTATCATGGAGCCGGAGGCTTGATGATTCAAGAGCGCTGATAAGAAAACGAGCTGCGGAGGTCATCTCTGATTTCCTGCGACAAGTTGTCATCATCTTCGTCTATTTGACGAGCATCCTGTGCGCGTGATAGTTCTTCGAGGGTCTTGGCGAGGGCAGCGCCTTCAGTGCGCCCCCGATCTACGTTGACAAGCATCATGATTGGGAAGGGAAGGCCAACCAGAATAGCTAGGAACCAGAAAGCCTGTAATATGTGTTAGTAAGTCACGTCTATGAGCTAAGGTCGTTTGGGGCGTGCTTACCGGTCTGATCTCTCCATAAGCATCGGTGATGGCGCCTACAATCGCTGGACCGAAGACACTACTGCCTTTGTCTGTGATGGCGTACAGGGCGTAAAAGGCGGCTTCATAGCCCGGGGGAATGAGCTCGCCAAATAGCGCGCGGCAGTAACTGCTTAGTCCACCAAGAACGAAGCCGTAGACTGCACCTAGAGGGTACATCTCCCATTGCTGCTGTAAGCCTAGGTATCCCAGGCGTTGGACTGCTGGAATATACCCGAGTAGGCCGTAGATGGGTATCACTTCGAAGAGCGTGATGCAGAGCAGTATTGTCTGCGTTGGTGACAGGCGGAAGAAAGCAGATAGACGTGACCATAAGAAGGCGCCCAAGACGCCAAAGACTGTCGCGATGACGTTTATCAGGGCGAGCATAGCGTACGACATTCCGAGTGTTGTCTTCGCAAAGAGCACGGCCGTACCAGATACAGTAGCTATACTGTCTGACAAGAGAAACCACGCTGCAAGGAAGAGTAGAACATCTTTGAGGTGTCGCGCATGCGTTGCTGTACGACCTAGGGATTTCCACGAGTATGTGAAGTACGCTAGTGCAGAGCCAAAATTGGAAGTTTGTGCGCCGATATGCAGAGGCGGTCCTGGACGAGGGCGCAGCCAGCGGGCAGTGGGTAGTGTGAAGACGAACCACCACGCGCCAATGACAAAGAGAACGAGCCGGAGACCAAAGTTGGAGGATTGAAATGCGATGACGATGAGGATGCCGAGGGTCTGCACCAGCAAAGCGGCGATGTAACCAATTGCAATACCGTAGGACGAGATTTTGGTAGCGAGTGCAAGCTCAACTGAAGGAGCGGCCCTGCTCTTCGCCCTTGGGATGGTCAAGTCCGCGGCTGAAGGGTTGCTTGGAAGAAGTGCGGTTGTCGCATCGGCAACCTCGTCAAGAAGGCCTTCTCTCTCTCCAAGCTGGTTCGCATATTGCGCTCCTCGTATGATGTTCTCTTGTGTAGGAGTTTCTCCACCTCTTTCATCGTCTTCCTCTGTCTCCGGCTCATCTTCTTCGTCCGCATACGAAGTGTCGGTGATTGAGTCGGCATACTTGACTGTCGGATGGAAACGCACCATCAGTGGTAAGAAGCTGTTTAGCAGTACGAAACTAGCACCAAAGCATGTGTTTGAGATGATTGCCAGTAGTGCGCCTAGAAGGTATACCTTGGGTACCACGGGCAAGAACAACATGGTCGCTATACTTCCCACGAATGCGAACCATAAGAGGAACGTTTTCCTGAACCTCCCGTGGTCTGCAGCACCACTCATGCTTATGATCAGCAGAGCCTGTATCAGGACTGATATGCTGAAAGTGTACATGGCGAAGCTAGCAGTGTTGATCTCGACGCCGAGGATATGGACGACACATTGTCCCTTTTCAGGATTTGGTTTCAGCAGGGCTTCTAGGGCGTTTGTGGAGAAGGAGAAGCTAGGGTGACCGGTAGGCTTCGTGGCTTTGCATGGCATGGAAGGGTCAGACAGGAGGACACCATTTTCGCGTGCGAGTTGTTCGAGTGTTACGGGTATGAAGGATCCAATACCACAGACAACGAAGACCTGGAACTGTTAGTGGTGGTGTTCGCGTAGCTTTTGCGCTCGACACAGCGCGTAAAAGGCAGCAACACGGCAGCGAAGAAGCGCACAAGGCTGGCACATAGTGAAAGCTCGAAGAAGTGTGAAGCAGGTTGGAATGGTGGTAGATAGCATAGGAATAAGTACCTCGGCAGCCCATCCGTACATGTAAAAGCCGCGAAGCTCCTTGTCGCTCGTCAACCGGGTATCTTCGCCCTCGTAGTGGGGCTGCGAGTCGTTGGACTCCATGTCGAGGCTCTGATCCGAAGAGAGACTCTGCTCATCGTCTGCCTCGTTGGACTGCGATATGGACGGCACTGAGACTTTTGACTGTGAGGATGCATTTCGCGTGAAGGTCGGTCGCTGGTAGGGCGGGAGCTCGGGCGCGCGCGGTGCCATCGAATAAACGCAGCCTTCCGCAAGCAGGGTCTACACTAATTGGCGGAAGTGCGTCACCGCAACTGAGACATGATGAAGGATCAAAGGATAAAAGCGCAACAGCTGACACGGGCCGGGATTCAGGTTGGAAGGTAAGTTCTAGTGGGCACGGTGAGGTCAGAACCAAGTTGGGGAGAGATGTGGAGTTGTTGGGGCAGCGGGCGATCCCATGGTCGTGCTGGGGTCATGAGGTTAGGGTTGAAGTATTGGCGGAATGGCTGAACATGCTGATGATGCGTCTAGTTGCAGTGGAGGCTATCCGAGAAGGCATTGGACAAGGCGCTTGCGCTCAAGCTCGCCTTTGGATAGACTACTGGCCGCCGCAGCCGCAAGCTCGCCGAGCCGTGGACAGGTATGCGGTGAATGATTTTGTGTACTAATGATCAAACCGACTAGCTGTGTTGTATCCGCTCTAGAAGCGACTCGGCGTTGCTCAACACACATTCTTAGAGCGAAGTGCACCTACAAGGCCTTCCTCGATTTCGGATGCCATCCTCAGTGTGCGTGATGAAAGAGACGCAGGGCTATCCACTAGTACGCCAGGCTGCATGGGTGGAGTGGCCGCCAAGGCGCCAAACCCAATCCAATCCTTCCCGTTTCGACGACCTCATTCCTGATCGCTGAAACAACATCATCGACTCAGCTACCCGGCGTCGCGCACCCATCCACGATCACTCCAGACTGACGCCGGCTTCTATACGAACGCGCCCACACCCCACGACATTTCGCAACATTCGCAGTACACGATGCGCTAGTCGACAGCGCCCCAACCTCGCTTTCTTTTACTTGCTGCGTCCGACCAGCGCCCTTTCACCACCCGCTGCGCCCTGTGCTACCTGTGCGCATCCATTGTTACGCCAACAACATCCACTTCATGGTCGCGCGCCACTCCTCAACAGCGCATCTCACCATCCGTTCCACTGCCAGCCCTCTGAACCCGGCCCCAGGCACTCCGACTCGATCGTCCTCCTGCACATCCCACGCTCGACACATTCGCGAAAATATCACGGAAATCTGGATTGGCCAGGCATATTAGGTGAAGGATAGAAGCGCGTAGAGTGGGTGCGCAGACGGCGCCCCAGGGTCGCGGGACGGAGGACGACGTAGTATGCCAGGCATTCTCACCATGAACCACACCGGATCAGACTTAGCGACGGCTTCACGCGACGCAGATGGCAGGAAGCGCAACCACGACGCTGACATGACCAACGGAGGACTCAATGGGACGCGAAGCGACACGCCGGCAGGAGGACCTGCCACCAATGGAGGTTCCTCGAAAGACACCAACACTAACGGCGCGTCCATGGCATTAGCAACGACGGCAGGCTCCACGCTCGGACACTACTCGGATCTGCCACCGGAAATCGCCCACATTGGCCCTGAGCAGTACAACTCCCTCTCAACATTGTTGTTGCGGATATCGCAGGAATCTTACAATGAGCTCGAGGAAGTATTGAAGAACATGGCCGCTATCCAACTGGCTCCAGTAACCAATGGCGTTCTTCCCAATGGACTTGGTGCGGCAAACATGCAAGGGAACGCAGACGCAAACAGGCGTAAGAAGCTGGTTCTCCTTTCATTCGCCCAAGAGCAGCGGGCAAAGTTCATCAAGCTGCTGGTCCTTACAGAGTGGGGAAAGAAAGCTTCGTCTGACATTTCCAAGCTTATTGACTTACTGGCCCACGCGAGTACGCAGGCAGCCCACATGGATGCCGCTGACTACAAATTGGAGAGAATCAAGGTTCTCTCTAACAACGCAAGGGAGAATAATCCGGATATCGCGACAGCTTTGGAGGTATTGTCAACCGGCAAAGCGTCGTGGATGCCGAGCCTTGACTACATACCGCCTGAGCCCATCTCTGCCGAGCAAGCTCTCAAATTGCTACGCTACTTGAACACTTCCCTCTCGATACGTCTGAATGTGCACGAAAGCCTTCCACGGCATCTTCAAAACTGGCGCGTGCATTCTGGACGCGCGACCTTTGTCATCGACAACGAGTTGGAGTTCGACGTCATGTCCTTTGTGGAGGATGCCTCAGAACAGTGGTTCCTCATTGATGTCCGGCTACTGTTCAACCCAGCGCCCACGATCACCGTCGGTAGCCGCTTCTTCATGCAGCTTAAGCTGCAGGCCGACCTAGTCTTAAAAGACAAGGGTCTAACTGGTCTTTTCGACTTCTTGAATAATTTCATCTTGACACACAAGATTTCTGTGCTTCGATCACAGGCAGTAGGCCTCGTCCGCACAGGCTGGGCAGGCTCTCTCAAAGTTGAGCCTGTGCATCGCTTGCTCGTAGTGTCATACTGGACCAACAAACCTGGGAAGAAAAACTGGATCGAGATCGGTGTATCCAATAACAAGCCAAAGAGTGGCAAGGTCTCGTGGAGAGGACCACCCATCCCGTCACTGACAACACGCTGGTTTCGTCAAGGCAAGGAAGTGAAAGACCCCAAGTTCCAGTTCGATTGGAAGGATCTGTCCATGGAATCCGTTCTCAAGCAAGTCATCGCATGCCATGCGAGCGAGATTCTGCGTTCTACGAAGAACAGTTTTAAATCTGGGGTGATAGCGAATGCACGACTTTCCGAGACCGAACCTGGGGATTGCACACTTGACGCAACACTGGGTGCTACATCTACTTCTGTCACACTGTCACTAGAGCAAGTCACTGGCAGCTATATTGTACGACCAGCGAGCGCACTATCTGCGCGAGCCGAGAGCGCTTTTAATCAAGGCAGGGAGCCTGGACAAATTGCCAATGTAATGACGCAGGTACTCGCCGGTACACTACTCAGCCTGATCCAGAAGAACGCACAACAACTCGGCTGGCAATCAGTAGCGAGGCAAGCTTTACATCAACAGGTAGTGTCGGCTGCTGTCAGGTTGGATGTTATTTCATCCACCTTGTATTGCCCTCGCGGTTGGACGCCAAGCTGGGCACTGGCAGCGGTGATCGACTCGTCTGGTGAGTCGTGGTGGATCTTCGAAATCGGATCTGGCGGAGGCAGCATAGAATATGCTGAGCAGATCAGAATGGATAGACCTGACGGAAGCTCCTTGCCCATCAACCGCAACACCTTGGCAAGTCTCGAAAGAATCGCCGTGCAGCTGCTGTCATTCCGTGTCACAGCTCGGCAACTTGAGAAGCAGAAAAAGAACTATAGCTTGAAGTGTGAGCTAGGGCCCTCTTTGGAAGCTTATCGCATCGCCCGTCGGTGGGTCCTGCATGTGCAAACTGCAGATCTTCTCGCAGCTCAAGCAGGTCAAGACGCATGGCTCGAATCAGACATCAGGATCACTTGCGAAGGCATGAAAGTCGGAGGTCAGAACGTCTGGCACATGGCTGCCGGCAGGATGATTAAGACTGTTGCTGCAGATATGCACAAGCTCATGGCAGCTTCACCACAACATGCTTTCAAATTCTCGGAGGATGGTAACTTTAGGATCCTCCTTGCCACGCCCTTTGGGCAGGATATACTTGGAGAGTTGCGAGCACGACTGCGAGATGTCAATCGTCTTCGTACCTTTGCAACTACTCTGCAGAAACGCAAGATGTTGCTCAAATCCTCCTCCTTACAACGCGTACAGTTTCAATACGGTCCATCGCCATATTCTGCCACCGTTAATTTTGGTTCCGAAAAGGAGCTCACGGTCGAACTATCACCCAGCAACCCGCACCATCGAATACTCTCTCAACTCACCGAGATTGCTAACGATCGGTCGCCCTCCTTACCAGTCATTGATCCCGGTGATGCCAATGGTCTAGACCGTTTCTGTACGATACTCGTTGCCACGCGACCTCTCTTCAAGGTCCTGCGCGAAGTCGAGCAACGATCGCCAGGCAACTACAGCAACCCCGCAATCCATGTCCACACCATCTTCAAATATCGTCTTACGTATGACAATCCCGTCTGCACGTTCGATGTGCGTCTCCAACCCAAAGACGACAACGTGTATTGGTTCGTCGAAGACAACTTGCGCCCAAAGGATCCCAACGTATTGCCAACTCCAGAGCGTGCACCAGGTCATAGACGCCTTGACAACCTACAGGCTAAGCTGAAGGAGCTGTTTAGTAGGAAGGGCAATGGGTGGTTTGGTACCCGCAATGGTATGGTGGCGGAATTGGATGCGATTCCTAGAGCCATCGAGGAGCTTGATAAATGTGTCTTGGGCTGTAGAATGGCTGATGGCTACGTTGCGCCTCCACCACTTGAAAAACCTGCACAGCAAGGTCTAAATCAGGCGAATGGGGGCCAACAGGGGAACCAACAACAGCAACAAGCCAGGATGCAACAGGCACGCCAACAACAGCAACAACAGCAGCAGCAGCAGCAGCAGCAGCAACAACAGAGGCAGGGCCAATCAGGGAAACAGCACCTGAACCAGCAGCAACATCCGAGAGGCCAACAACCGAACGGCAGACCGGCTCAACAGCAAATGCCCAGTGGGCGTCAGCAAACCTTGCAACAGCAACAACAGCAAGGCCGAGGCGGTCCAGGAGGTCGTCCAGGGCAGTCTAAAAACGACGTCATCACTATCGATTAGTGGTTGAGACGAACCTGGCTACTGCGATGTCTCTCACTACATTCAACCATGAATATCTTCTATATTCATGTATGTACCATGTTTCTTTTTCACGTTTTCACATCTCTTGCATTGGGTTAGCGGGACTACGGTATAATTTGCATTTCTAACATGCCTTTTTGTTTTGTGATTTGTTCAGGGTTTCCTGATGTCGTATACACCACACCTGATTTGGATGCGCCATCGATGCATCCATCTACACTTCGTTCCTCTTTCTTCGTACTTTGTATGATACTATTTATACCAATTCCCTGCGGTGGGAAGACCGAGGCACGGGATATACGCACGGAGTCATGTTACCTTCTAGAGTGGTGCCAGCAACTGCTTCAATAAACGATTGATAACTAGGTATTATGTGTTACAACCCAGAGGTGGC